CAATCTTTCCTTATGTTTCTTCTAGCAATATCCTGCTTAGTTGTACATAGGAGAACGTAATTCAAGCAATAGTAGCATCTTGAACCATTCGGCCAACTCTGTCCACTTCGCTTGGCACTAATCTTCTTTCCAAATCCTATGCAAAGTTAATTCAAACGGCTGCTGAGAAGCAGTGCGGATTCGTCGCTAATGTATAGCAGATGCGTTGGCAATCCAATAATTGAAACCTGAGCTCTGCGTACGGGAGAGGTGCGCTCATTCTCTAAATTTTATTGTGATCATAATGCTTTCTTGGGTTCCTTTATTGTTTTATTATTCATCTTACTCTTACTGACTGACTGATTATCATTATTTTTTTAAATTTTCACTTTACGGTTTACTTTCCTTCGTCTTAGTATGTTAACTTCAATCTCCCATTGTAATCCTCATAAATACTTTACTCCAACTAGTGATTATAAATTAGTGCTATTAGTTTTGACCTGTTTGTTTTTGAACCTATTAGTCATCACGTTAATCTATTGGATCTTTTCCTTATACACTGATTACGCAGTCCCTTTCCGACTCTAGAATTGACCCACTGTTCACCCTAGAACATTCTTTTCCGATGACCTAATGTTGTCCTGTTAACAAATAATAGACTTATCTGTTTTTACCCTAGATACGATCGTATAGTTACTGAGTTATTTGACTAAAAGGAAATTTTCTTCCCTGAATTACTTTGTTTTTGAATGTTCTAAATGTATTGGCGCAAATACATCACACATTGTTTAGATAAGCTTCGTCTTTTAATTATTATTCTGTCTAAATTTATAAAAGGGATTAAACGTTTAAAATATTCGTAAAGAATTTTCAGAATTCACTTCCCACTATTTCGACACTGGTTATAGCACAGACAGACGAAATCAACTTAGATCCTGGCACAGAAGTGCATCGATTCAAATACTTCACAGCAGTATGCAAAGAATAAATGAGTGGAAAAAGACATCAAAATAACGAAGGTTTATGGGAAGGGAAGAAACTTGAAAGTTAAGAGAAGTGGAAATGTCCAGTATAACACTGAGGTTGACTTTAAGATACTTTCCAATGGAAACATTTCATCAAATAAAATCATCAAAATACGCATTGCCTGTTACGCTGTTGTATCCATTTCCTCTCTATTGATTGAATTTGTACCATTGTTTTAAAAAATGATCCCAAGTTACTGCTATCTATTTGAAAAAATATTGAGAAATGGTAACTACTGCCCTATTGGTTAAAGCGTTAGTTTGAATTACTAAAGAATGTGCATGACTTTTCTATGAGGGTCAAAGTTCTCTGCTAGAGTTCAGGTCTTGGTTTGTTGTAATCGATGTTCTAGTAAGTAGTGAAAATTTTTTACGCTAAACTATCTCTGCTTTTTTGCTATTGAAGAATTCAGAATCTAGGTAAGATGATTTGTAATATATGGTGCATGCTATGTGTGTGTGTGTGTGTTTTAACCCTTACATGTATTCAGTAAAACAGTGAGTGACCTGGGTTTTTCTCTCTAACCTCTACTAGCATTTTGTTTATATTATATGATTAATTATTCAGTGCTCTGCATTAATGTTCCTGCCTGAAGGTGTTCAGCTAATCAAGAATCCATCAAGTGTTCTTGAATACTTTGAACAAAGAAATAACTCTAGTGGTATAAATGGTACTAACAAGTGTAAATACTACTTAATCAGGCGTATACCATTCGCAAGCCTATACCCATAAATGATTATGACATTTCTCCGTCTTCGTATTATCATTCTGACGCTGACGATGGTGATGATGATGATGATGATGAATTTCCACCTGAATGCATCATCCCTCTCTCTGTTTGTTTTTTGATCATCTTACCATTTATTATGCAGATTGAATTCTGTAATACTTTTTTATATGTCCACTAATCGTGTCTTGTTAAAATTCCCTTCCTAAATGACCATTTGAAGGTTGGTTATCTTCAAGGTGTCTATGAACGTTAGTTGGTCAGAGGTAATCGGCAGGAAGCCCTGGACCTAAGTTTCGTGCTTGTTAGCACTCATCACCATAGCGTGTCTGGAACCTGGTGGGAATTGAGGTCGCCTGTGAGACCCGAACCCTCGTCACCAAGGTTTGTAGTCAGCAGCGTTACTACTGACCTATTCGGGCAACGACTAACCTCCTGTGGGACTGGATTACGCAGATTGACCAATCAGTAGAATGCAACTAATCCCATGTTGTCCAGTCCTGAATACTGGCCGAATTCTATCGAGATTGCAGAAACCTTGTTGATGAGTCCCAACAAGCACGAAACCCAGGTCCAGGGCTTCTTGCTGATTGCCTCTAACCAACTAACACTCATCAAAGTACACCATGAGGCTGAGCCTCCTGGGTTGATGGCCACATTGCAAAATGATCACTAGAATTCGGTCAACACTCAGAACTAGACAACAGGAGACTGATTGCTCTCTAGTGATCAGTCAATACCACGGTGTTTATCTTTATCACCCATCATTATCTTTTGAAAGGTTGAATTCCTAACATATGATATTCAGTTAAGACAGAAAAATCAAATTACATTTACCTTAACGAATAACGATGCCTTGTTATTTTTCGCTCTCTTTGCTAATTCAGGTTTTTGTAACTACTGAATTGGATGATGTCATTCCTAATGAATACGGCTCACCTTCGATCTCAGTACCGACACATTATCCAAATCCTACTTATGATTATTACAGTTTGCTTTCGTTAACCCCTCCCTTCTTTTCATTTTATGGGTTTTAGGACTTTGAATTCATATTATTTCCTTGCTTTATCATCTGACTGATTTGGAGGTTGATATGACAGTGTGAGATATGGCAATTGGCATACGTTCCCCTGGTACCTGTCAAATGTAAGATGATGCTCCACGAATGATCTGCAACTACTCATAGTTTAAGAATAGAGAGTGTAGTGGTGGAGTGCGTTGACCACTTAACTTCAGGAGATGCATCATCCTGAACTGGCTAGTTGCTGACGAAATCTCAGCTTGAGTACAGAAGGGATGTTTGGCATTTACCAGTTTGGGTCATCTGTGGCGCTGGCCGGCGATATATGCGACTACCTGCGAAGAGACGAGCATACTGCACTTCAGTTCATTCTGTCCTGTTATACGGCTATGAGACATGGTCGCTGAAGGTCTGAGATATGAAAAAACTAAGTTCTTGCACACAGGCGTCTTCGTAACATTGCTCGCGTTTGGCGGAATCACCATGTGAGCAATATTGAGCTTATGGGTATCAGGCAAGGAAGGCAAGTCACTTGATGAGTCTTCAGTGACTGAGATGGACTGAACAAGTCCTGCACACTCAGAACCACTGCCTTCCTCGACCTGCCATGGTAGGGGAGGTTGAAATGGGGCTCAGGGTGACGAGACGAAGGAAGGTGTGGTACCAGCGCATGAAGTCTCTGACTATTTGTCTGGACCGTGAAGGGAGATGTAGACTACCGGGCTGTGGTCCTTGAGACGTTAGGAATCAGTGATTGGGGAGTTTTGGTGACATAGCTGAAAATCGGTGACATGGCGCAGATGTATTCTATCTTTGACGTTCTCGAAAGCTCGAATGTTTTGACTAACCTTAATTTTTAAATCCCCTCTATTCACAAACACCTTTGTCTACTTTGTCATCAATCCTATTCTATCTAACTATTCTTTATACATTAATGTGAAATGTGACAAGTTGAACCGATGCACTTGTATAAGAGGTTATGCTTTAATTTTATCTGGGTATTTTAGATCCTATTTTGACAATATCTATCCAACTTACCTTTCGTATATTGCTTATATTTTGTGACCGGTTTATTCTATGCGACATTTCATCAAATTCTAGTTTGAATGTATTAGTTTTTCTGGCATACTACTGATGTGCCTTTTGACAATTTTTCATATCAATCTGGTATATGAGTGATGTACCGGTGAAGCTGTAATGCAGTGGTTCGGACTCTTGGATTTCAACTATTGACGTTCGGGTTAGTATGCAGCTTTACCTTTGCGATTTATGAGTTACCTTAGAGTGGTACTGTTATCATGTGAACATAAAAGGTGTGCCCCATAGTCACGTGTACCGATCTACTAGTTGTTACGTAATAACTAATAGATTTAGAGTTAGTTGAAACAGAGACTGTTCTCTCGGTTTATTCATCTTAGGTCAGTAGTTACCGTGTGCCTTTCCTGAAAAGCTATTCATCTTTTTTTATTTTTATGTTTCTCCCGAGCAGAAGTGTTGAGATCATAAAATTATAGAAAAAATTTACTCATTATTTTATTATTACTATCATCATTTTTAAATTCAGGTCATGTCCCTAACAATTGAGTTTTTTATAACCTGGCAACGATAATTACTATGGAATTTAGTATAATTGTCTACATTCCATAATTCATAATTGATATTTTAACAAAAAGGTAGACAAGAATGCAGTTTCCATTTGTGCTTTTGTCTATCCTCTTAGTAGCAGTTAACTTGTGTGTAGGCAACGAGGAATGTATGTACATAACACTTTGAGCACCATTTTTTGTTCACAATTATATCAAAGTGAGCATACAACCTTTGAACTTCATGATTACTATTCGTAGAATTTCCCAAATGTCTACAATGTGTTATAAATCCTTCCTGCTTCGTGTGTTGGGGGTTGGTCAAATCAACAAAGATTTAGAAATGCATCTCCTCTTCCATCCAGTCAATAGTAAATATCGGTTGAGTTGCGGCTTGTTGGTTTGAGAACTCCATTTTCAATTGGTGAGTCAAGGGTTCAAATACCTCTCCATCTACCGAGGTTAGTATCACTAGCCCTGACACATTAGGTATGGCTCATTGCTTGTTGCGCGAATGTGCTTAAAGTTGCTGAGTGGATTTTAGTACATAGTAAATACTGAATCACTGTCTGCCATATATCTTCAGTTCTCCTTTGTACTAATAATCTTAGACAAGCTGTTATGGTGTATGGAATGAATACCGAGACCTGAATAGAAAGCCATAGGTCTCTGGAGCCTTTCATAACAGATCCTGTTGCTTGGAAATCCCGAGAAAATAGCTCATGAACCATTGTGTAATATCAAACTGGTTGGAGAGACGAAATTGTAAGGATATAATCTATTATTATTATTTGTCCCTTGGGCTCCTAATGGAACATAGGGCTTCAGTAGCACGTCTCCAATGCGCTCTGTTCTCTGCAGTCTTTTGAACCTGGCTCCACGACAGCCCAGAAGCTCTCATTTCCTCCTGGCACGATCTCCTCCATGTCACCCTCAGCTGGGACGCCCAACTCGTCGCACCCCATCTGGGTTCCACTCGAGGGCCTGGCCTGACGCGTGATGTCCCCAATCGGCCTTCTCAGTGTATGCGCAATCCATCTCGACTTCCTTCTGCATATTTGTTGAGCGATAGGTTGTTGGTTGGTTCGTTGCCAGTCAGCCAGGCAGAGTTCCTTGTTGCTTATTATTTCTGGACATCTGAGTTTCATTAACGAGCCAGCGTAGGTGGCGGTTGTTGATGAATGTCTGTAGTTTGTTGGGAATGCTTTTCGTAACGCGTCAAGTCTCTCAACCACCACACAGAAGCACTGAGTTGACGTTGGTGTTGAAAATCCGGATGTTGTTCATGCTTTATGCTGAGTGGAGTCCAGTAGATCTCCACACTGGTTTCAGGCTAATGAACGTCTGTCTTGCTTTTCCGATTCTGACTTTGACATCCTCGTCTGTGCCTGTGCTGCCTGTAGTTGAAACAGTGCTTCCTAGATAGGTGAAGGGGTCTCCTTACTTTAAATTTCTCCCGTTGATGGTGATTGGAGCTTGTTGTTGTTGTTGTTGTTGGTGGTGGTTGCGTTGGTTGGGTATCTTCATCACCTCTGTCTTCTCTATATTAACTTGAAGTCCCATCTTCGCTGCCCTGCCTCTCCTGTCAACTTGTTAGTTTTCGCGTGTAGATCTTCCAGTTTGTGCGACATCAGACACAAGTCATCGGCGAAATCCAAGTCTTCTAGGATCTTTTCATCCGTCAAACAGCGTATGCCCCTCTTCTCACTCCTCACAGTTTGTTGCATGATGCAGTCGACCACAATGAGGAATATCATGGGGGATAGTAGGCAGCCTTGTTTTACTCCTGTCTTCACTTCCAGTGCAAACGCATCACTGAGCTTCCCATTGTGAATTACTTGGCTGGCATGTGGTGTCTTCATATAGTTGTTGAATGAGGGTGATAACGGTTTGTGGTATTCCGTAGTGTTGAAGCAACTGCCTGCCAAATTACTTGTCGGTCGACACTGTTGAAAGCCTTCTCAAAGTCGATGAAGTAGAGGTAGAGTTGAGTTGACTGCCATTCTATGCTCTGTTCTATGATGATGCGTAGTGTAGCGTTGCAATTTGGTCGTCACATGATTTGTACTTCCTGAATCCAGCCAGCCTGTTCCGGTCGTAGATTTGAATGCAGTGCATCATTTAGTCTCTCGAAGATGATGCGGCTTAATATTTTGCTTGTATTGGGTGGACAGGGACAGGAGCGTGATTCTGCGTCAGTTCTTGCAAACACCGAGGTCTCCCTTCTTCGGGAGTTTGACAAGGTAAACCTTCTTCCACTGTGCAGGCAGATAGTAATGCAGAAGTTAGGTGTAGAGTTTTAGGGAGAAGAGGTAAGTCAGTCGACGAAGTTGTGAACCTTCATCGACTGAGATGGTTGGGACACGTACTACGTATGCCTAGTCACCGATTGCCTCGTCACACAATGTTGGCTGAGGTGGGTTCAGGCTGGAAAAAGGCCCGAGGTGGCCAGACTAAAACATGGCACCAATGTATGAAGTCTCTGTCTGTTGGTTTAAGCCATGTAGGACGATGCAGACTAGGTGGTTGGGGTCGACGGGACAAGAGGAACCAGTGGTTGGAGACCCTAGGTGATATGGCTCAGAACCGAAGTCAGTGGCGCAGATGTATACACACATTATCCTCATCTTAACAACGCTATACCGAATCTCACTATTTTGTCACTCCTCTTTCCTTTCTTCTCGTACTTTATATTTCTTTTGACTGCATTCACTTATCTTCATCCTTCACCTCACTACCTTTTTACTTGATGTGCTGATATGAGGTGTGGCAACTCGGACCGTTACGCAGTAATGCCTGGTCCTATGTTGTTAATGATGATGATGATGATGATGATGATGATGAGGCAGATACCTTTCTTTCCTTCCTTCCAGACCTTGTGCAATAGTGGTGTGGTGTGAGCATGTCCTCTGTTGTCTCTGCGTCTGTTCTCAGTGCTTCTGGAGGGATTCCATCTGGTCCTGCTGCTTTGCAGCATTTCAGTAGCTTTATGTTGCTCAGGACTTCGACTTTCGTTGGAGGATTTGTGTTCACTTGTTGTTCTGTGGCTGGTTGCAGGTGGTTTTTCTGGACGAAGTGCAGGTGGTGGCGGTGGTCTATTCAAGAGCTTCTTGAAGTTGTCGGCCCATCTTTTTTTTGTTTCTCTTCTTTGGTAATTAAATTTCCTTCATCATCTTTTACTGGTTTCATGTGTGTTGATCTCTTCCCAGATAGTAACCTGGTTATTTGATACAATGTTGTCAGGACACTGTCTCTCCTACCTGCAGCCTTCCATTACGGTTTGTGGATATCCTTGTGCTTGAACACACTGCCCCACTCCAATCACCAAATCGTTGAATGCACAGAATTCTGCAAACAATTCTCCATTCTCGTTCATCACCTCACCGAGCGCTTCTCAACCCATGGTTAGTTTTTCTTCCTGTGTTGTCCCCTCCCAGTCTGGCATTCATGTCACCCTACCCATTAGAATGAATTTTGATGTCACCATCTGGGGTATGGTCTTGTCCAGTGTTGATTGCAGTTGTCTGTAGAATTCCTCCTTCTTCTCTTGATCTGCAATGTTTGTAGGTGCATGACGTTGCATTGTATGATTGTGACCTTCGTTCCTTCCGTCTGATTTGAATCTTGCTGTCATGATCCTGATCCTGCAGGAGGAGATTGGTTCCCACTGCATGAGATGCTGTTGGGGACATCATGATGGTCACTCGAAAACTCAGTGTGCTGGTGGTTGTTGTCTGGGTGACAGTATCGGAGTAGATTATTGATTCCGCAGATGACAATTTGGAGAGTCCACTTGCATTCGATCTGCTTTCGCGAATTCCTGGCACTTAAATGTAATGCCTTCTCATCTCCTTTGCAATCTGGGCTGCCATGCTGGGTTCAATTATTGTGTGGACATTCCATGTCCCCATGTTTACTTTCGCTTTTATCGAGAGAAGCACAGACACATGGGCCACTTGGCTTCGTGAAGGCTTTCACCAACCGGCGTCATTTCGTCTCTCCGATTTCAGCGAGGAAAAAGTTTGTTTTTATTTTTTATATTTTGTTTGTGCTTTGAAGTTTGTTTAGCGGTTGGATTTGTTTTACGGGGTAGGGTTGCTAGCCCTATGCCCAGCCTTCCCTCCTTACCTGGACTTAGGACCGGCTAGTAACTAGTGAACTAGTTAACCAGGCGGGTTTGATTATAATGTAGAACGGCCTAAAAATCGTCAAGACCATTTTTAATATCTGCAAACCGTTGTATTTTGTGAATATTTTCACGTTGAAATACTCTATTATCTTACCACGTATTCCATTAACTGAGGAACTGGAATCTGAAGGTTATTGTTCAAGTGTCCACTCTCGTATATATATATAACTCAAGGTTGCAGGACGAAACAAGTTTTTAGCATAATATACACTTTTTAATCATGGTGACTACCATGCAATCCGTGACTCACGTTTCGTCCTATTTGTAGCTCGTCAGCTGGGTGTATCTGCACGCCAGTGGGTGTTGCTCCCACTCATACTCGAACCCAGCACTCATCGCTCTAATTACTAAGCCGTTATCCACTAGGCTTCTGGGCTCCAGTCGTAGTGCGAACAACACGAATCACTGGAGTGCAACTGTGGTTTCAGTATACCTATAGCTATTGCTTCCACAGGCAGGAGACAACTC